ACACCTGATCAAAAATTTGGCCACTTGAAAAGTATAAGCTGTGAATAATGGGATAAATAAATTGAATTGTTGGCTGGATAAATCATTTTTGGAAATTCTTGAACGATGGAAAACATTCTCTAAAAGATTTTTTATAAGAAATAGTCTCTCCTTGATTAAAGTTTATTGACCTGAAAGACCTTGATTAGTCATATTACCAGAATTCCATGATGTCCCACCCCTTACAGCTTATAGCTTAAGGACATAGTTTTTTATTTACCCTTTTACTTTCAAGATCTTGTTAGAAATTCTCATTACTATCTACCATATGATTCCTTTTATTTTGCTTTGGAGAATTTGGTATTGGATCAACTAGTAATTCCCCAATTGACATTTTTTCATTATTCTGAGATCACTTGTTTGCGTGATATTGTAAGGAGAAATTCTTTCTTGGTCAGTCATGGGAGTTAAAGGATTAAAATTTGCTGTGGATTAATATTGATTTTCTTTAACAGTGATGAAATGCAAACGGGCATACTACCAGGCTTCTAAGGTCAGAGATCAGTCTGAGAAGCTCTACAAGGAGGCTTGTGTGGAGGGGAGTACAGTCACTGATGAACAAGTGAGAAAGCTTAAGGATAAATCAGATAAAGCTTCAAATGATGTTCAAACCGCCAGAGGCAAGTATCAGGAAAGTCTAAGGGATATTGGAAATTATAACCCGAAGTATGTGGAGGATATGCGGTTCGTGTTTGATAAATGCCAGCAGTCTGAAGAGGAGCGAAAGAACTTCTTTAAACAGACTTTCCTGAACTACTCTCAGCAGTTGTCGCTGTCACCGCATTTCAACAGGTGTGTCACCTTTTTAAATACCTTATTTGTAGTAAAAAACTCGATCAACTTTTTCCCTAAAGCCACCATTAGTGATAGTGAAAGTGATCGCCTAAGGGAGGTAGTTTCTCAGGAGAAAAATTGCGACCTAATTTATCGTACGAATGAACTTGTCTTCTCGGCTACGCTTCGTGTGCTACTTTGTTGTTCTTGCCGCTTCTTAGATGCACAGCAACATTTAATCCGTGTGTTAAATTATTGAAACCACGTTTTAGCGGTAGTCTATGAAGGCGCTTCGCAACAATTTCAACTCGGTAATATTAACCAAGATAGGTTCATTTCGTGCTAGAAGAAAGTTATGTAACAGATCGTCTTTTATCGATTTTTCCTGTTGTATACTTTATTAATCCAAACTGTCAATTACGTTCGTGTCGTTAACGCTCGCTAATATGTGCGAATACTCGTTCAAGAGCAAAAGACCATCTTACCTGTTTACATCGTCTAATGTTTTAAAACTTGGAATGCGCGCGCACTTTTTCGCCTGATAACGTGATTTTCATGTGCAGCACGGGATGTGCAGCGCAGATGACTAATTATGTTGAAACGGAAGCTTATGACCTTTGGTTATTAACGGACTATGACGAAAGTCTCAGTGAAACTGTAATCATTTCTTTTACAGGATGACCAGCATTTACACTGGTCTCAGTAAAGCATTTGAAGCAGCAGATACCTCAGCAGATATTTCATGGTGGTCTATTAACTTGGGCATTGATATGCCAACAAGATGGCCAGAATTTGAGGTGCATGTTTTGCAGAATAAGCTAGAGTTACAATAATACTGCGGAATGATTCATTAAGGGAAATAAAGGAAATGATTGCCAACCGCTGTGATTGTTAAACAAATTCTCCCTGCCAGTACCAAAGGGAATGTATCATAGAGAATAGTTTGGAGAATGTGGATGCTAATGTTTAAGTACATCTTCTGCTTCAAGAATTAGAAGTAAAACCCTGCTATGTAGACAATAGATTTCTATGATTTGGTCCATTCTACCTTTCTTTTTTTTTTTTTTTTAATGATATATATATTTATCTATTATATGTCTTTAAAATTACTTCTCCTTTTGATAGGAATACACGGGGCAGGAGGAACAAACTGTTACGATGTTGCAACAACAACAACAACAACAGCAACCAAAACAGACGACTACCAATCAAACAAATACATCGCAAGAAACTCCAGGTTCCCCCAGCGCCAAGAAGAGCTCTGTTTGTTCAACACTGTAAGCCACTCGAAGGGAGAAATCCTTATGTAGTTTATTTGTGTTTATTCAGTCGGTGTAAGTTCTGACTAATTGTAGTTTTTTTGTTAATAAATAATTGCCACGCGAAGAATTTTCTTTTTTAAAAAAAATATTTCGTGGATAGTCGCGAAAATGCAGTGATTGAGATAGGAGAGAGTACAGTCGCTGGAATAACGTGATCGTCTTTCTTAAGAGGGCTGTGTCCGGTAACCGTAATTCTCGTTTCAAGAACCTGAGAGAAAGTTATCACGAGCCACATGTGACTCTGCATTTGGCTTCCCTTCAGGGAAATGAGTGCGCGCTGATGCCCCTCTCGGTAGGATCGACTACGTACCTAAGAAAACGGTAGAAATCCAACCATTACGTTCCCTCAACCGGATAATCTGACTACGCGTTCAAATAGTGAGACTCTTTTCAAACGAAAAAAAACAACCTAGCAAGAGATAGAAGTACGCACGAACTCGCGAAAAGGGACTTTGAGGAAGTCTGATCAGTAGCAGCCGTTTACCTTTTCATTAATCTATACTTTTATATCATTAACTAAGTTATCCATGGCTCCAAACATGTCACAGCTGATGCATGCGCCGAATCGGATAACTGCCTCTTCTTACATAAACAGTAAATGGTTATAAGGGAACCTAGACGAGACATTTTTCTTCGAAAATTTTTTTTTCTTACTCACACGTGTTAATATAGTTAGCGTAGCTGGTGGTTTTGTGTGCATTTTGCGGTTTCTTGCGCTCACAGCGCTCACAAAACGCCAGCTATGCAGGCGAATGTAAATAGTTTTATACTCGGTTCCGCTTGTATTTCAAGTAAACTGGTCACATATATCAACTATGCCATACCTGTACAATAGATACAGCATTCAAACTTCCACCCAGGGGCTTTCCTAGGTTGAAAATTGCAGACGGGTGTGAACAGCCTTAGTATTCAATGAACGCTAGATTAAAGATCGTTTTTAAGTTAAACAAATACAAACGATGGAGCTGAGTTGCTCTAAAGAAAACCAAAGGCTATAATAACCGATAAACTTTTGTGCTTTTTTGTAACCGAAATATATTCGTAATGCCTCTTGTTGATGTGACTTTTGTAGAAAGGAGTTCAGTTACTTTGTACGTTAAACGTTTACCATATTAGTCTTATAACATTTATTGTAATTTTTTTTAGTCATTTATGTGAATAATGTCGAGGGATCTTTTTAATGTTGAGTTGAAATCTTAGCACTTAAAACACAAACAAGTTTATATTCATCTCTCATCGGACAGTTTGCAAAACTGTGGATGCGTCAGGTTCAAGTGATTTGAGAGACCTGTTGTAGCTGGTAGAGGAAGGTATATCATTTACCTTTCAACTCTGACAAGTATTCCTCTATTCCAACACTCATTTTCTAAAATTAATGACGCAAATTTAGTGCTGCATCACGGTAACATCTGCCGGTCGATATGTTAGTCAATTCTCGTCCGCTGAATGTAATGTATGTGATTAGTGTTTGGGAATCAAAGAGTATCACTTGACAAGAGTGTCACTTCTTTTACCATGAGAGAATTTGAAGAGATTGCATATCCTGGTCTGTTGAACCATTTCTTACCAGAACTTATATCCCATGGCCATTTTCTGTTGGGCAATTGAAAATGACCAGGCTCGAAGGTAGCTTGTTATGAGGGCTCAGGGAATGGAGACAAGCTAGGGAGCGGATGAGCGGTAAATGGCGGTTTCTTAGGCTAGAGTCTGATACAGGCTAGCTAGAAGATGAAAAAAGCGAGCAGGATCTGAATGAAAAACCAAAATAAAATGCCGGATAATTTTTCAAACTAATTGGTTATATCAACGAAGTTGAAATTGTAAATTGTTCACCGTAACGAATAAAAAAAGCTGACGTTTCGAGCGTTAGCCCTTCGTCAGAGCGAATGGAGGAATTGTGAGTTGTACGTGGTTTTAAATGCAGAAAGCGGAGCTACGCCATTGGTGGGAACATGGCAACGAGAAAAACACGAATCAATTAGTGGAATGAAAAGCGTTCGTTGATACCTGTGGGATTAAGAGTGCCGATTTGAAAGATTAATTTTTGTTCAAGAGTTTTGCCACAATTCCTCCATTCGCTCCGACGAAGGGCTAACGCTCGAACGTCAACTTTTTTATTCGTTACGGTGGCCAATTTACAATTTTAACTTAGTTGATATAACCAATTATCTTGTTACCCCCACCGACGCAGCACCACAGTTTCTTTAGAAACTTTCAGCCTTTATTCATTTAACTTTTCAAACTGACCCTTTCCGTCCTTTCCTTTATTGTAACTGATGCTATAGGAAAGCGCAAGCGACTTTTGTGTAGAGACGCACATGAAGGGTGTAACGCGCACGCGCAGCTTGAGTAATGCGGCTGCCTTGGCTGCAAGCAGTTTTCATTTATTTGTTATCTTCGCATCTGTTAACGCGTGCATCAGAGCACAGGTGCCTCTAGCTCTTTCATTTCAGGATTATTTTCTGATGAGAATCAAATTAATTCTTTTGATGCTATTCTGGCTGATAATTTCTCCACACGATGCCAAGCAGTACCAAGCTGTGCGCTCTATTTTTGGACACCCAAGCCGTCAAGAATATCTTTTATAAGGCGACTGTATATAAAACACAATAGATCAAGCTGCTTTCTACCATGATAATGAAAGTCTGTGGCGATAGCTATGAAGCATATGCTCGTAAGCCTGTTTAGTTCGGCTGAGAGTTTGTAGCCTAATTTTATCTAATTGTCTTTAAATACTCCGTGTTTGAACCTAGCGAGCCGGAGTAAAGTACCTTTAGTGGTATAAACTCTTGCTGACACTAGCTCGACGTTCATTTTGTTTTCCGAACCGTTTAGCTAAAAAATGCTCGTACAACGATCTGTTGTGGTCAGCTAAGTGCATGAAGATCAACTGCGGTAATCATGAAGGCACTGGAAGGTTAAGTTATTACCCTCCCATGCAAGAGAAGTTTGCAAATGGAGTTCGACAACAGTTTAAGTCGATTTTAAAAGCGCTCCCTCTGCGATGAGCCAAGTAGAAACTATCCATCATGGTCGGCGTTCGTTCTAATTCGATTAGCCGATCGCTGCCAACTCTAAATTATCGTTTTAGTACTGGTAACAATTGAACTGCTAACTGTATCATTGGCTTATCCATCTGTGCAAACACTTGAAGACATTTAGAAAGCCGTATACGTTGTAGAGCGAAGATGGTTCGGTAGCAAACGAAGAACTTTAATTAAGGGTACAGCCTATTTTGATTCTACTAAATCAGTTCACTTTCGACAAAGAGGAAATAAACGGCAGTATAGATATTCCCTCGGTTTAAATTCCTCATACAGCTGGTACGTAACGAGAATTTGCTAAATTCAGGTATCCTAGTGGTTTCTCTTGAACTACTCGCCCATTTTGCGCGCTAAACAGATGCAGTTTCTAGGCAATAGTAGTGTATATTGATCTTTCTGCTGTTCACGGTGTCTCAACTTTGAATTTCATTAAAAAGATATGGCATTTTCCATCTTGCAGAGCCTTGTCATTTGTGCACGCAATGGCCATCTGTTTGGCCTCGTGACGGAAAGATAGATTCACATGAATATTTGTGTATCGCACACTGAGTTACACCTCTAAAAGGTTTCGGCTGCTTCAGATTTAGGTTATTCCTTTGCTAAACTACACTTAATTTCATTTTACTGACATGAACTTTTTTCCGGTGATCGACTTTTTACAGATATCGGCAAACTGAATGGACAGCAAGAGATAGTGTTATCTTTAAAGAAAGGAGTCTTTGAAAATCAAATAAATGGCTCGAAAAAGTCTTGCACCTTGGACCCATGGGATCACGTTATTGCACTGAGTAACACGTATTACCGGGTAATATTAATGTTATTTCGCAATTTCACAACTCTTCGGAGCCACCTGCAGCCTGCAACTGACCTCTTGAATATTCTTCTCAAATAAACGCTCTGACTCTTAAAAAAAAGTAACGAAATTGTGCAATTACAGGATCCACTCACTGAAGTAGGTAAAATGCCGCGGGCAAACCGTCTTACAAAATATTGTGTAAGACCTACTATTAACGTGATCAGAAGGACAACGAAATGTGCGTTTGAAGAAAAGATCATTTCGTAAATTTTTTCCGCAAGGATGAATTAGAGAGAAAATGACATTTGTAAGGAGAAACTGGGCTCATTTGAGGCGTCGCTTGCACTGAGTTAGGTTTGCAGCATTGAAAAGTTTCACCGCCGTGACAGCTCAGTCAAATAAAGGGACTTTGCATACAGATCGATAGTTATGGAATCATTATACTGCTCTTGGTCTGCAACTGGGACCAATCGCTAAGATTCCTAACTCATTTTTCACCGCAAAAATTTCAACTCCCCCAAGATTAAAATGTAAGCTTTGTCAATCAAGAGAGTGATAATTTTAATGTCCAAATTATCATAAATGATACAGACTTCCTCTTACGCAACAATTTCAGTTCTGAAGTGATCTTAAAAGCAAAAAAGAAAAAATATTCTTCTGCAAACATCACATTATTATGTTTCTCCTAAACGACATAAGCGAAATGAATGCACACAACTTAACGTCTTGCAGCATTTTTATTTTCACTTTATTCCGTTAAAATTTATCTAAAATATAGACAATATTATGTCAATAATTTGCACGAGGGCTTTTCAACAAATGACTCGTCTGTTTGACAAGCGACTAAGTGTCTTACAGCAAAAGTTACGAAATATACTTTTCAAAGTGTACTAAATATATCATTTTCTACAAATCTAACTATCAAGCTACCGACACAAGTAAGTACCGTTGAACCTAGTTGCCGTAATTGTCCATCAGCATGTTTGTGTTTGGTTTGAATTCTGTGGTTGAGCACAATGGCGTTTCAAAAATGCAAATTTTTCTACAAAAACACAAATCAGTTGAGTTTATTTCACTGTAACATCTACTTCAAAAAGCAAAAATATTTCATTTAAGTTGGGAAATATCCGAATAAAATAATTAGGGTAAGAATGGTAGAACATTATCAGCTATTTCTGTAAGAAATAATTAAACCAAAATTAAATTGGACCTTATGTGCGTACGAAACAGTCGCTAGGAGAGAACACACGTGTTGCAGCATTATATGTTAACTGCTCTCATTGTTTTGTAAATTCAGTAAACACGGACATGTTGCTTGGTTTATTTTTAACTCGAGAAAGCCATCGGGGTCAGCCACAGTAGGTCCTGGTTAAAAATGTAGTTTGAAGAGTTACCTGTGCATTAAGTACTTTAAAATAACGGAATAAATCTTCGCCTTACCGAAAGTATCGGTTCTGAAATAAAACCAGCTTCGTATAAGTTTGGTGTTGGACAGTATGTTGGTCAAAATATTGTTGATGAACTAAAAGACAATTTCGAATTCATCAGATTTTATCTATCTTCGATTGAATGTTTCGTCTCTTTTAAACGTTTCCTCAAAATGTCCGATATTAATCACCTTTGAGCTTTCCTTTAGAAGTTCTTTTCTGCAACAATATTAACAAGCTTTACCAATAATTATTTCAATATATATATCAAAGTCGCAGCTGACGATCATAGGTATTAAATCTAAAAGGCGCTTTACATACAAAATCTGAATAAATTTACATTTTAGCGATAAAAAGTTAGAAATGGCTTGAAGCGAATGGAAGGCCGGAAAAAACGTTATCATTTTTTGCTGTTGTCAAAAGTGGTTTGCACTTGTTCAATGCTTACTCTTAGAACCTCTATAATAATAAGATAAATGGTTTTTCTTTCGCCCTTTGCTTACGACTCGTAGATGACTACACCGCTTTGTGTAAACGCGAGCCAAACTGCGAGGAGAAATTAAACGATGGTTAACCAATACGAGAAAAAAAAAATAAACCGTCAAATTACTACGTTTTTTTCCTATAAATCAAGATGAAAGAAAGACGGTCTCCACAAAAAAAATTCAACAATATAATGAATTCGTATTACAAAAGAGTGTAATATCGCACACGAAAGAGTCTTTGGCACAGTGCCTTTGTTAATTTCCTGCAGGTGCAAATAGAATTCATCTCGAAAAACTCAAATTGCAATTATTTGGCAATCTGAATTTCCAAAGAGTTTTAAGCAATAACACCTGACCTGTTCGCCAAGGAAAGAAAAAGGACAAAATCACGCTTCGTCAGCCGTGATATCAGTGTTACAGTTGGCGAGTGTGATTTCTAAGGGCGAATTTTGACAGAAAATTCCGCTATTCAAGAATTAAGATACTTGATGTTGAGTTAAGTCGATTTGTTTCTACCTCCATGAAAACTGAGGATGTTTTTACGGAAACTACTTTGGAGGCAAGCAAATGACTCATTTGTGAAGACGATTCACGCGATCACATTAAAAGTTAATTTGTTCTCTTTGATATCAACGGCTAGGAATTCCCCACAAGTGCGGAGCAGAAAGGATGAATATCTTGGCAGCAATTTGTTCAACTCGCACTCTGATGTATTTTTAGTGATCGTAAAATGTTTATGGTGTCACTAGCTGTCGGTCGCAAACACGGACTAGCTTGCCAAAGACTTTCCACTAGTTGTTGATAATGGCACGAAGTCGCGTCTCCACTTGGTACACGTGGTCGTAAATTGTACGCAACAACGCCGAAAACAACAACATAAAGATTTTCTGATCCGTAAGGCTCTTCTCTTGTTAACAATTGCCATAAACAAATTCCGAGGGAATAGATGTCAGCTTTAGGAGTTGGTGGTTCTCCTTTGAGTAGTTCTGGTGCTCTATAGGCAAAGGTCCCTGTCAGGTATGAATAGGTTGGACTAGCAGGTAGATTTTCATCGCCCTCGTCCAACACTTGACTACAACCGAAATCGCCCAGTTTGCAAATGTCCTTAGAATCCACCAAAATATTGGCCGGTTTTACGTCTAAATGTGCTATGTCCTGTGCATGAATAAATTCTAAAGCCATTGTTATATGAGACGCGAATTTCATTCGTCTCTCTTCGTTGATATCCTCCTTTTCATTGTCCAAAATATTTCTTAATGTTCTTGGCCCGGCAAACTCCATGATGATAACTCTCTCCGATAAAGGACAATCTAAACTCGAGGCTGCTAGAGTCCGAACGATATGAGGATGACAAAAAGATGCTATGGAGGTCTCTGCTTGAAAGCTCTGCAACACTGCCCGAGGATTTTTAGAGTTCGTATTCATTTTCTTAACCGCTACAATTCTCCCGCGGTATTTTCCTTCGTAAACTGAGCCAAATCCTCCACTTCCGAGAAGTTTTGAGACTTGAACTAGAGCCGCTTCATCGTCAGAGAGCATTTCAATTTCCCGGACAAAGGCCTTGCATTGAGGAACCATTGTTTCCTTAGACCGACTGCGAATTAGCGAAAGGTTATCACTCGCCAGCATTTGTTAAGGGGAAATTCGCCTCGATCCAAGAGCTTTTGAATTGTTTTAAGTCAGTTTCTTGAAACGCTTGTAAGTGTGGCCTAGGCCTGGGAAGGCCAGCTTCGCAACGGTGCCTTTAAAACGAAGTCCAGCTTCTTGGCTCCAAGAGGCTCATCCGTTGAAGTCGCCCGCAACTTCGGTGGAAATGCAAGCCACTGTCCTATTCAGCTGATGTAAAACAAGCAAACAGCTGGTTAGTGAGGTTGACATTTAAAGCGTCAGCCAATCACAGAGAGCGTTAGATAGTTTATTCTTTGTTACCCGCCAAAGAGGCGTGACTGTGAGACAGCCTTTTATTACACGCTTTCAACGCGTGCAAGCTCGCTCGATTGTCAAAGTAATTTATGCAACGGAAGCAGGGTTGAAACCAACTTCAGCTTTCCAGCGCGTCGTCGCGAAGCAGTTTTATGCCCTGAGGTTTACAGCTATTTCGCTTTGTTTCGAAGCAAAGATTTCTTATCGTACCAGCATGAACTAATGTCAATTAGGTCATAATAATAGCGGATCGTGAATTATTAAGCAGTTTCAGTCGTAATCGTTCTCCGCTTTTCCTTCGAATGGCCTTTTTTAAAATGCTCACTCGGTGTCTGTTCCGTGCTTTAAGTGGCGTGCCTCTCAACTCGAAGAGCGACCCAGCCACAATGAATGCTATTTTGTAAAGCGAGGAAAAATTAATAGACGTGTCAAAGATGGCTTTTTCAAAGTATCACACATTTATTTGTGAAAGGCTGTCAGATATCGTATTTAATGCCAGCCTCAGTGGAATTCAATAGAACTTATTCAACAAGTTATTGCATTGTTCACTCATGCGTGGAATTGAACTTTCTCACGATCTTTTGTTTTGCCGAACCTTTGATCTGATATCCGGAGAAAAACTGAGTTTCATCGAAATGAACGCGAAACATCATCGAGTGATTGAAGATCCTTTGGAGAACTGTTGAGTTTTGAGGGAAACGGTACAGCTAAAGTACCCGCAAAATCACCAGTTTTGCCTCGCAACTTGTACAAAGCACTGGTGATTTGTCGCTTAGCTGCCTGCTTTGTCTAATGTCTTCAAATGACCCTTGAAAGAATAGTTCTTTGAACAGGTAGCATTCTCGTCAACAGCTGTTAGGCTAAACAGAAAAAAAGTTTCCCCAGATTGTTATGAGTTTCCTAGAATAACTAAAGTTAAACTTCTCACCTTCAAGTCTCTACCCATTAGCATTGAATAGCGCGCTTCCTTCGCTTGTTGACAGTGCAAGGCCTAGCCAATATGACAATCTCGTTTTGCTCTTCAATGAAACTCCTAAAGGCTTCCTCATTTCTAATGCGTAAGACAGCTGGCTTTTTAGTCGCGGTCTGTTGATTCATTCACGGAAAAGCGCCCCACAATTAATATAGTCGAACAAAAGGCTAGTTGTATGCAACAAACTTTTTCATATGTTCGACATCGGTCAGATGTTAGGATGGAATACAACGAAAAACAAAAAAAAAAAGAATAAGACGTTTCCTAGGACAATTTTTTTTTCAATAAAAGTACCTGGAAAATACCACAACATTTGCTCTGAAGTCGGCCTTTCCTACGACCTCCTCACGAAAACCTATTGCGTCAGGACCAGAACGAAAATTGCTCAATATTTGGATATTTAAACGTTATTTACAGTCATACAGGCAATACTTTCTCCTACAATTTTCTTTCGCAAATTGATCGATATCTCGGAATTGCTTTATCAAGGAACAGAATGAGAGGAGAGAGATCATTTATCTATGCAGTTATATCACGTTCGATTCTACGGAAAAGTTAGGCCACTCTTAAATTGGTGTTTAGCACGCTTTAGTAGAATATGGTTCGACATTTCTATCTCGAATCTCAAAAACGCTGTAACTTGGTTGGATTGCAGTTGCTCTGATGAATATCTTAGATCAATCTCCTCCAATGGAGGCTGGCTAGTAATCCAGTCGCTGAAGATTAGTTAATTGCGGGTGTTCTATTGTTATTAACTTACTCAGTAAATTTTTACTGCTAAAATTGCTCAGCTCTGGGTCGATGCAAAGCGCTTTCTTTAGTTAGTAAAGAGAGACTTTAGAGAGACTTTAGACATGAAAAGAATTAACACAAAGTAGATAACAGATAACAATACACAATAATTCTAGAGAATAGGTAGTGCGCTGAGTTGGTGTCAGCTGGTTTGACTCCCCCCCCCTCCCCTTCCAGAAAAAAAAAACTACTACGATAACACGTGACATAAAGAGGCATTCAAAAGGTAAAAAAAGACGATTCATTAGTATAACAATTTAAGCATGTAGAACTCAAAGACATGAGCCCCGTTATGACTCTGTACATGTCTTCCTTGCTTAGGTATTAAAACTGGGTTTGTCACCAGGTCGGTACATTCAAAATTATTTGAAAATACAAATTAAGTTACACTGGTGGTAAAAAGCATTTCTGAGATAAGTAATAATAAAAATGTTCCCGACGTTTCGGTCGCAATCACGGACCTTCTTCAGGGGAAGTGAAAGAAAAAATTTTGTGTGAAAGCGCAGATGTAAACACGTCTCTTGAAATTTAAGCAGCGTCTTCTTTATATCTGCGCTTTTGCATAAAATTTTTTCTTTCACTTCCCCCGATCATGAAGAAGGTCCGTGATTGCGACCGAAACGTCGGGAACATTTTTATTATGACTTATCTCAGAAAGGCTTTTAACCACCAGTTTAACCTATGTATGTATGTGTGTAAAAAAAGAAACACGACTTGAGGAATGAGGAAAAAATATAAGATGTGCTGACGTTTAGAAGTTTCTTTATTTTTGCAAAAGTTTTGGTCATTGGTCATGAGAGTCTGCTGGATTTCCGCCGGAAGTAGCATGCGACAGTAAAATGCAAGCACCGTTAGTATAGAGCGAAACTACAACATTAAAGGTGACGATTTATTGCCCGAGCAGATCTTTTTCTTTTGCCTTTTCTTTTTTTTTTTTTTCTTCATTTTTCTTCCTGGTTTTTTGTTTTTCTTTGTTTTGTTCTTGGAATTTTTTTCCTTAAGTCGAAATATCGATACATATGGTCTATTGTGTGTCAGCAAGAAACAAATCTCACCATAAAATCTTTCCTCTCTTTTTCTTCCACATTTATAAATATCTTTCTTGGATTGAAAAGTAATTCGAAATTGTTTCGTGGAAGAGATGGACGCAAGCGTTGCTTGAAAAATAATCCAAACAGTCGGGGGTGGCGTGGTCACAAAATCGTTTCCTACGTCGAAGGGGATCACGAGGAATCATACCTTTCGTTTCCCAGTCCCCCTCCCTTGGTCTCAACACCCATGCTCATTTGATTGCTTTGCCCTGTTATTCTGTTTATTTGTTTCTGATTTCGTCCATGATTCAGAAAGTTTGAAATGATATTTTCCTTATGATCTTGGGTAGATAAATTTATTGTTGGAGGATATCGGTTAACGTTTGCCCTCGACGACAACTGGCTAAAAACAAGCACTCTTTCTCTCCAGCTTAGGTTGTTGTACTTTTATTCCGGTTGCTACTTCTTCGTCAAACAGTTAAAACTAGCCTGTTATACGTTATCACTTCACATCTTCAGGAAAAAATACAAATTAAAATTGTATAAACTTCATTTGTAGGGTGGCAAATGGGTTTATGCTTGACGCGTGACTTAGCCCAGAAGAAATGTGGAATGGGATTTTAAGTTTTCCCTTTTGAATTCGTGATGCGAGAATATCGTTCAAATTGAACGTGCGCGTGAATTTTTTCTGAAATTCGTGGGTGAAACGGGATAAGTACCCTTACCCCACCACCCACCCACCACACCCACCCCTCCCCCCACTGCTACCTTCTAATGATACGTCAGCCAGGATGGAGATGTTTCTTTTTTTTTTATGAATAGACATGTCTCTCATTAGCTTTTATCATAACAAAATAAGGCTAGACTTAGAAAATGAAGAAGTACATATATTTGCCGAACAATCTAGATAAATCTTTGACTTCAATTTTTAAAAATGTTTTGATGAAATATCTTTATTCTAACTCTAGTCATATTGGTTTAGGCCGGGTCGATAAAGACCTCGCTTAAAGGCTCTCTGAAAGCGATTGGCATGTAAGAGGTGACAAACGAATCAACTAGAGATCAATTATTCACACCAATCAAAGTTCGGCATTTGTATTAAAACGCACCTTTTAACAAATGGTAAACACCACAGCGTACACTGTTGAGTTATGGATGCACGCGGGAGGTTGCTAAGCACGAAAGAAGCGTAAGAGTCGCTCGAGGCGATAGCCGAGAGCGACTCTAGCTTCTTGAGTGCTTAGCAAACCTCCCAAGTGCATCCATAACTCAATAGTGTACGCTGTGGTGTTTACCATTTGTTTTATAACATAACATTGATACATTGTAGCTGAAGAGTTCCCTTTTATTGCAAGCGTGCGCGGAAAAATAGTCTTTGCATTTGCTCACGTCAGCAGCGTACACCCATGGGAAAATGGGGGGACGCTAAATTGACCAATCAGAGCGCGCGCTTTACTTTGGTTATGTTATAATAAAGGGTAGGACCTACTTTTACAATGAGAGACCCTCTCAAGGTCGTTAAACAAAAAGTTAGCGTAACAGAATAGAAAATTGATACGGACACTAGCGGGAGCGAGAGCAAAAAGTTAGCGCAACAGAAGAGTAAATTCATGCGGACACCGGAAGGAGCGATAACTTACACCGTTACGTAATTATAATAATTTCAATCCCTGTCTTGATTTTAGCTTCGTACTCTCCATGATCATAAAATAAAACAAAAAGGTATTTGTCCTATCAAATTCCCAAAGTTTTAAGTTCAATGCATATTTTTTTAAATTTGAAATAGCTTCGAAGATAGGAAGTGGCCCAAAAACAAATAAAAGTACTTTATCCTTACAATTTGTAATGAAGACGAAAAGTACAAAATATTATATCTTTGCATACCTGCGGCTTAGTCTTCTTGTGCTTGTTTGCAGAAAATCGTAGACGGAAATATAGTTGTTGTTCCCCTAATAAATATATCAAACAATATATATTTATTTGGCCTAGTAACGTGCCATGTATGAAATCCAAACAAACTGAATCTATCCCGCGCGAATTAGTTCTCAGAGTTTGCAGCCGAGTATCGAAGGCCGGTTTATGACATGAAATAATTTAGACCACTTTTTAAGTTTGGA